CCCAGATCCTTTGGTTGGATAGTCCAGCCAACCTCTTCATCGGAAGATCTTTCGCGCCTCTCCAGTTATCAATTCAAATCACTACCGATGCAAGCCCTACCGGATGGGGGCACATTACAACGACCTACACGTTTATGCTACCTGGTCCCACACCAAGCGGAATCTTCATACCCACAATCTTGAACTCTTACCCATTTTCAAGGCTTTCCGCGCCTTCAAACCTATCATATTTAGCACGGCTGTCAAAGTCACAACAGACAATACCATCACATTGTTTTACATAAACAAACAAGGAGGTACCCACTCTCTTCCGTTGCTGTTCCTCATTATTCAGTTCTGGGAGTGGTGTCTCGAACACCACATTTTCCCCATAGCAGTGCACATTGCTACTCAAGACAGTCTTGTAGCACACTGGTTCTTAACCTTGGGTTACTCAGGAGTTTTGGACTGCAACTCCCAGAAGCCTTCACCACCAACTGTGCTGGCTGGGGTTTCTGGGAGTTGCAGTTCAAAAACATCCGAGTAACAAAGGTTAAGAACCACTGTTGTAGCAGACACTCTCACCAGGATGTACACTCAGATGCACAAGTGGACTATCGACCAGACTGTGTTTCTCCACCTTTGCAGCCTCTGGGGACGACCACACATATACATGTTCGCCACAACTCAAAACTCTAAATGTTCCCTCCTTTGATCGAGAGTAGGCATAGGACCAGGTTCCCTAGGAGATGAGTTGATGACCAGTTGGGCCACACATGTCATTTATCTCTTCCCTCCTATTCCTCTCCTTCTCAGGACAAAAGCCCAAATCCGTCAAGATCACTCCAACGCAATCCTCATTGCCCCTTTGTGGCCCAGACAACCATGGTTCACCATGCTCCAATCCATCTCCACAGACTATCTCCGACTGCCTCTTATTCCTCACCTCCTCACTCAGCATCAAGGCAGGACTCATCACCCCGATCTTCACACTCGCCATCTCTCGCAATGGAGGGTTCACCCTCAATAAATACCATCTTTCCTAATGCCCGAAAACCTGCTACGACACAGCTCTATTCCTATAAATTGGCTGTTTTCACAAAGTTTGCACTTCAGTGTGACATTCCAACCAATCCAACAACTCTTCAGGCAGTCCTTGAATTCCTGTCTCATCTTTTTCAGAAACAGCTCTCCCTCTCTACTCTGCAAGTTGACATTTCTCCCGTAATAGTTCATCAACCTCGAGATTCTGATGCAGCTTTACTCTTCCGTCACCCTACATGGAAACTGTTTCTTAAAGGTGTCTCTAATATGCACCCTCCCGCATCTCCACCATCCTCACAATGGTCTCTACATGCTGTTCTTCAACGGCTTACCCTTTCTCCTGTTTGAACTGCTTGCTACTACATCGGAGCACTTCCTGTCCCTTAAGACTCTTTTCCTAGTTGCCATTACCTCCACTCATAGAGCCTCTGAACTCGCTTCTGTCTGAGTAGACCCCTTGTTTCTCTAATTCTACCCAAAGTTACTCTTTTCCTGAAGTCTCCTTTCTCCCAAAGCTTGTGTCAGATTTCAACCTCACCCAGCCTATTATTTTACCTACCTTTTTCCCGTCACCTATGACTGACCTCAAGCGTTCTTTTCACATGTTGGACGTCAGACGAATCCTTGCATTTTATGCCTCACGGACTTCCTCCTTCCGCAGTTCAAAAAGACTTTTTGTGACTCCACACCTCCTTCGTAGAGTTTCTCATATTTCATATCAGTCTCCCGCTGGGTAGTTATAACTATAAAGTTGGTGAATCAGCTTGCCAAGAAGCCTCTGCCTGTGGGTATTAAGGCTAATTCTACCAGGGTTCTGGCTCCCTCCAAAGCCTTTCTTCATAGAGTACCGCTTCCAGACATTTGTAAAGTTGCTACATCTTCCACGTTTGCCACCCACTACTGCCTGGATGTCAGGGCCAAGAGGGATGCAGCATTTGGTAGAGCTGTACTTTATTCTGTTCTTCCGTGATGTCCCTCCTCTGGTAAGTGAGCTTGTTAATCACCCATTAGTGTGCATTCACAGAGACTACAAAGAAGAAAGAGAGGTTACTTACCTGTAACTCTGGTTCTTTGAGTGATCATCTGTGAATTCACACTTCCTGCCCGTCATCCCCTCTGTCCATCACGTCTGTCTCACCTTTGATGCAGCGGCAAACTGTTCTTTGGAACTAAGGCAATTGCTAGGACGGGGGGGACCACATATACTGGGGGGGCATCATTGGTGAGTGTATCATAAAGCTCTAGAATATTCTGGAGACATCTGCGCAGGTGCAGATTAAACCCATTGGTGTGAATTCACAGATGACCACTCGAAGAACCAGAGTTACAGGCAAGTAACCTCTCTATTTTTTGTTAATAGTCAAAGTGCAAAGCAAAATCAGATGTTCATGAAGCTTTTTGAGCACAGCAGATAGAAAGGATTCTGGCTACAGGTCTTTGCTGTATTTTCTGTATATATTGGGCTGGGAATATTGAAAGAGAAGATAGCTCACATGTCTTTTCAACTTTGTAGGCTGATCTGTGTGCTGGGAAACATTACAACTTATTTTTTATGAATACATATTTCATATCCATATATTCAGTTGAAAACAGGATTATCATCCTAATTTAAGATGGATAAGGAGAATGAAAGAGAGAACAATTGACCTTTAAAATTTAAGAGAGGTAAAAAGCAAAAGATTTATGCGATCTGAAGAGAAACCAGAGGTGATGCTTAGGGATAGGCATTTCATATTTGAATCAAAGACCTCAAACATGAAAGAGTCTCTTTTTTTGCATAATTGGGGGGGGGTTTAGCGGTTAACTATAGAGTCACTTAAACATGAATAATTGATTTTTATGAAAAAGGGGCATGTAGAAGTTTTGTTTCTTTCTTGTTCCCTCTTATGCGTAGGCTTTTGGTGCTGTTTCACCCTTCGTCTATCAAATTGTCTAAGAAGTTTTTCATCCAATATTGTTGTAATAGTTGTTAGCAGCCAGTCAATCAGGACATCTGGGGACAGAGTAGGAATTTTGAATCTGTAAATCAGTCTGGAATCTAGCAAAAAGCGCTCTTTGTGTCAGTTGTTCCTTGTGGGATTGCTGTTTAGTTCCTCTCTCTCTCTCTCTCTCTCTCTCTCTCTCTCTCTCTCTCTCTCTCTCTCTCTCTCTCTCGGGTTGCTTTCCGCCTGCTTCCATCTTGAAAATGTTCCCTTTTCTCCTTTTTTCTTGCTTTATTTTGGGGGAGATGCTCTAATTCATCATCATCGTTGTTGTTGTTGTTGTTGTTGTTGTTGTTGTTGTTGTTGCTGTTGTTGCTGCTGTTGCTGCTGTTAGTATTATTAGTATTATTAGTATTATTTTGCTGCCCAACAGCCTGCCTGTGCCTGCATGCCTCCTTAGGATTACATTTTGGATTCCCCTACTCATTTCTTTGGAGATTTGCTTTCACTCTGTGACATTATTTTGTTTGCTTTGTTTCAGTTCTGCTGTTTCCCCCCTGGGGTGTGTGTTTGTATGAGAGAGAAAATAGGCAGTGCTTTCCTTCCTTGTTTAATTGATTTGTTAATTTTTAAAAATATTGTTAATTTACTCTGTATTCTGTTAAAGGTATACATTTGGTGAATTTTTGGGGACTGTTTTATTTGTTTCTTTGAGTTTGTGTCGGCTGAGGGATGGACTTTGTGACTGTGCCAGTGTGCCATTGGTATAGAGGTGGTGGTTGTTTGTTGGGTGCAGTTTGGGATGTTTCTCTGTTGTTCTTGGTGTTGTTTTGTTGTTGATTTCTTCAGTGGATGAGTATCTGTGTGCCAGGTAGCCAGAGCCTGTCTGGTTGACCGCTTCCATGTTTCATATCTTGTGCTGCCAAGACCTATAGGGTCAGTTGTCCTGGGTGGGTGGCAGTGAAATCATACTCTCGTTTTTTTAAATTTTATTTTATTTACACAGAAAAAAAGCGAGACAAATAAGAGACAAGAGAAAAAGAAAGGAAAAAAAGGAAAAGCAAAAAAAACTAACCCCTCAAATTAAACGAATCCCTCCCCCCTTTAGAGTCAGAGACTCCAGCCTGGTTAACCCCTCTGCTCCCCCAATTTCATTTTCAGTATATACTGAGTAAATATACATGCATCATAAACTTTGCCCTATGCTCCTGTCTTCTTCTGGGCCCAAGAATATATTGGTTCCCAGCTTTGTTTTACATAGTCTCTTGGCTGTTCCCGTAGTGCTTCTGATAGAGTGTCCAGTTCTGCTATATCCCATAGCTTCTTTAATAACTCTTCTATCACTGGAACCTCTTCGGTTTTCCATTTTTGGGCCCAGAGTAATCTAGCTGCTGTGAGTATGTACATAAGACAATGCTTCAATTTATTATCATTGATTCCTGATACGACATTCAATAATGCCATTTCAGGTTTTATATCTAATTTCTGCTCTTGTTTTGAATGTGATAATGTAAACTAATGCCAGCATCAATTGGTTGGTAATTTTTCTTATCTACTGTTGCCTGCTTTTGGAGTAGAATGATTCTTTGCTGCCTCTACTTTTTGCAGGTGTTTTTAACTGTTGGAGGTTTCATTTTTGTTTGTTTTAGAGTTTTTAAAGTGCAGGAAAACATGAACAGAAACATAAAAGTGAAATCTAAAAGAGGCTTTTCCTTCCTTGTGAAAAAAAGACCTGGTACAGATGTAGTGTAAGTTCCAGTGTCCTGCAAACAGAACTTTGATATTATTAATTTCATAATGTGTCAGGTTTGCTAATTTATGATGGTTTTAATACTTCTACATTTAAACAGCAGATAAATGGTAGGACTTGTAAAGTTCTTGAAGAGTAAAAATTTGTGTCAGTCATTTTATGCTCATTGTCTTAACAATAGTCTATTAGCCAATTATACTTTTTGTTGTACCAAGTGGTTTCTTAGCTCTAAGCTGTAGTGAAGCACTTGCATGCTTCACAAACTGACTGTTGTGAATGATGCACTTCTTTTTCCAAATTTTCAGACCTCAGCAGCATCCCAGCGAATAAGTCCATGTTCCACACTGACCAGCAGTACCGCTTCACCACCTGCCAGTAGTCCCTGTTCAACCCTCCCACAAACTAGTACCAAGGATGTTATAGCAAAGGACTGCAGCTATGGAGCTGTCACAAGCCCAACTTCTACTCTTGAAAGCAGAGACAGTGGCATCATAGGTGAGTTATATTCTTGGACGCCAGAAGTTTAGTGTCATGGTGAGTTGGAATGAAAGAAATTGGATTAAATTGTAGGTATTTTGAGAGAATTTGTAAATTTCTCAGACCTTTCTTTCATCCAGATAGGGATATGCCTATCTTCCTGAGACATAAAGAGAATATGGCTATCTGTTTGCTTGTTGTTTGTAAATTTGCATTCCACTTCTCCCGAGGCAAGCAGCAAATGCAAGAAACAAAAGCATTCAAAATTTAGAATGGATAGAAAACTAACTAAAAGGGAACACAGCAGCAAATAAAATACTAAATACCAACATTCCAATTTAAAATGCCAGCTGAAATATGTATGTCTTTGATGGATGATGAAATATGTTCTTCGTCATGTTGTCTGTGCATCACAAATACAGTATGTGTTAATCCTGTGAATGCACAGAGATGTTGAAGTTTCTAGAACTAAAGCAAAAGAAATATGGTAGAAGACTGCCTGACAGGACAAGTACATGGGGCTCCTGGGTTGCTCTCATTTTTTTCCATCCATTGCATGTTTAGCAGCCTCGAAATAGTACCTGTGCTAAATATTTTCTGCTCTTATTTCTCTTTGGCCTCCTCAATTATTTTACATTTCATTAGTCCCTTAACAGTACTTAGCATTGTTTTTTCCACTCAGCTTTGATTTTGGCTTTGTGCTTTGACAGAATATTCCATGAAGCACACTTCCATCATGGACTGTCAAAGACTTTTTCAGAAAGTGCACTGTGGCAGCAAATACTTTATACTGGCTGGCACTCCAAATGCATATTCTACCTTGCCAAGGGCCATGTTGTGTCAAAATGCCACAACTGCCAGAACCTTTCGAAACCAGCTCTTTGAAACTGGCTGTTAACACCTTCAGGCTTCCACTTGGGAAAAAAGCCTTATAGGCCTTGAAGCAAACTGTACAACACTTGCTGCCACAGCCTCCTATGATATGTTCCATGTTCCCAGCACCACACTCATGTACCTCAGTGACTTTGGCTGACACCAGAACTGGCACTACCAACTTTAGCAAGCCATAAATGCCATTATTTCCACTCACTGGTACATAGAAAGTGTAAGAAGGACAAACAAGATCATTCTTCCCAGTCCCAACGCGAAGCCCATCAACTTACCCAATGCTTAAGTCTCCAATGTTATCTACAGTCAATCCTTGAATTACGAACTTAATCCATTCCAGAACAGCGTTCGTAAGTTGAAAAAATTTGTAAGTCAATTTCCCATTCCCCATAGAAATGCATTGAAACCCTGTTATTCCGTTCCAGCACCATGGGAGACCTCCCTGGGGGTCCCCGCTGCCGTGATCAGTGGCTTCAGAGCTCTCAAAGGGCTTTCCCCCGACATCGGAGGAAGCCCTTTGAGAACTCCAAAGCCAAAAAGGCAGGGAGAAAGGGCAGAAAATTCGAATTTCCTGCCATTTCCCCCTGCCTTTTTGCCTTCAGAGCTTTCAAAGGGCTTCCTCCAATGTTGGGGGAAGCCCTTTGAGAGCTCCAAAGGCGACGAACGGCTCCGTTCACAAAAAATGGCATTGACTTGCGAACGGAGCGTCGACCTCATTCGTAGGTCAAGGCTTCGTTCGCAAGTCGATACCAATTTTTGCGAACGGAGCTGTTCGTAAATCAAAAAGTTCGTATGTGGGGCTTTTCATAAGTCGAGGGTTGACTGTACTTCATCCATTCTTTCACTGCTGGACTCAACACTGATCTAGCCTTTGATGTCAATTCCACTCCTACTCTGGGCAAATATTACTGTCAGCCTCTGAGTGCCAATGCCCTCTGTGATACAAACGTCACTGATGCCTATTCAGATGGAGTGCTCCATTGCCCCTTAGATTAAGTCCCAGTCATTTCATCCTTGGGCATGAAGATCCTCATCTCCTGGGCGTTTACGAATATAAAGCCCACTGGCACAAGTGGACGGCCCCATTAACACCCACTCCCAGAACCCAGCAGACCACTTATTGTATGATGCTCACAGCCAGCATGATCTTCAGTGTCCTAGTCACGGCAGTAACTCATCTGCCGCATCCCTGCCTCCCTGGTCACCTGGCCGCTCCTGCAAGGGAAAGGAGGCTGAGTCTCCCTGCTCAGCCATGGAGTGGCCAGGCAAGTAGGTAGGCAGGGCTGTGGCAGCCAGGCTATGGCTGTGACTGAGGCTCTGAAGATGACGCCGGCAATGCACGTTGCATGGTAAGTAGTCTGGTCGTTTCTGGGGGTCGGTGTTAATTGGGCCAGCCAGTCTCAGTTCAGCTCCTTTCCAAATGAATAGTGGCCACATTCTTCCTGGCTTATGACTTAGCACTTTTGCCATACCTTGCACCTTTGCCATATCTTGCCTGAGTACATGCCCATGCTTGGATATGGAGGACGCTACTGTATGTCATCAGAGCAGCCACTTGGTCTCAACCAATTTTCTTCATTTGGGATTATCACATGGAGCACAAAAAGGCCTTCAACAGAACTTCAGTCTTAGCTTTGGTACTCCCATGCTAGGTCAGCTTGCTAGTCACCCATTTGTGTGATGCACAGAGACTGAGATGAAGAATAGGTTACTTACTTGTAAGTGTGATTATCTGAGTGGTCATCTGTACGTTCACACATTCTGCCCTCTTTCCCAGACATTGCCTGGAAGATTACTGTTTCTTCCTGAGGGTGAGTTGGGAGTCTCACATTTTAATCCTAGCAGATAGGAGGGCAGAATCCTGCCAAATAACTTTTGCTTTAGCTCTATAAGACTCTGAGATATCTGTGCATGCATAGATGATCATTCAAAAAACCACAGCTAAGCTGATTTACAGGACACAATCAAGGAGAGTTTTGATATGCACTTCTCTCTCTGCTCCTCTTATTGTTTCACCAGGTATACATACATGAATTTACACATTGTATGTTTCTAGATATTTTTGTTGTTGTTTGAAGAGCAACAGATCTACCAGATTCTGGTTTGCCACTCATGAAGCTTTAAGAGCCTTGACCAGCATGCAGCTGCCAGTGCAGGTTCTGGCAGATAAATTCTACACTTTTTTTTTGAGGGTCACATTCACATCTACCATTTAGTTTTGTCTAACCCATACATACGGATGCCAGTGTAGCTTGCTGAGACAGGTTTGATGACAAACCCCCAGAGCTCAGAAAGTCCTACTCAGAGGAGAAACTAGCTTTGTAGCCCCTGACGCTTTCTCTGATTCAGAGTCCAAGGCAAAGAAGGGTTCTTAGCTACCCTATAACCCATGTGTTTCTCCTGTGCTCTTTTGTCTCCTGAGTTTTCCCCAGAAAACTTGTATCCCAAAACAAAATCATCCCCACCCTCAGAATGTTATGAGAGAAAATAAATGTGAACAATGAAGAGAGGGGATATTGCCTTCACTCATTCTTGCACTCCTCTGATTCTCCTGAAAACTGATTAGAAAAGTTTCAAGGAATAAAGCCTAATGGGATAAATAAAACTCAGACATCCATTGCATTCTGTTGACTCTTTGCTGAGAAGAATATATTATTCACCTTCCCTCCTGTTTTTCTGATGTGATTTTTTATATCGATTTTAAACGATTAAAATAGGAAATATAAATATACTAGCTATGATGAGATGCTGGCACAGAATCCTGTGCATCTTCATATATTATACATCTTTTTTTTTTGCTTGCACAATATAAATGGGCTTTCAGTGAAGACTTAATCAGCACTATTGATCATAGCTAATCTCTGCCCTAGAAGAACTGACAAAAACAAATTCATTTGTAAGATTTCAGCTCTATTACTTTTAAAATGTAGGAGGAAGATCGAACACTGTTAAAACCATACAGCATAATTCTGGCTTGATAATTCTTTATCAGGCTTTGAGTTTTCTATGCTTATTCCACAGTCACATTTAATCAACTTCATTTGCAAACATTTATTGCCAGTAAGAAGATTTTAGAAGGATTTGAAATAATTAATTGTTCCAGTTGCAACTTAAGTTCTACATATACGTTGCTGTTGTCTTGTTTATTATTTAAGTGGTATATTGAACATTTAATGTTTTACAGTATGTTGTAATCCATTTCATGATTAAGATGTTCCTCTGAAAAACAGGCTATAAATCTCTTCAGTAAACAAAATAAGAAAATTTAGTCTGTGATGCTACTACATATCTAAAAGAGAGACCACACTAAGATAAAAAAACTGGGAGGAAAAAAGCCCAGAGAACTGACTCTTCCCCTGCAATACTGTGATACCTGCTAGTCCCGGCTCCTTATCCTTTATAATTGTCAACAGAAATCAAAACAGATTCTGTTTAATTCTGACCTGCAGCAGTAGAAAATTTAATATATTTTCCTTTCTGTAAGCTCTTGGGGAGCCATTTTAAAATTTGTTTCTTTTCAAAGTAAGAGTAGCCTGAATCATGTTGATGCAGTGACAGAAGTCAAAATGCCATTTTCAGGAACAATATACAACAATTAAAAGAATAGCTGTTATAGTTGCGTTTTCTCTCTGTCAAAATTCTGTCCGGTTTCATTGCCTCTTTACTACCCAGTTCAGTAGTAAAACTAAGGGATAGTCTATGCTGTTTCATTGTTGTTCTTTTGTTTTGTTTTATAATAGCCCAGTGTCCATCTCTCCAATTCCCCAGATCCCTCACTATGTGTTACATGTGATCCATAAGACTTCTGTGACACTCCAAACCATGATGGTTATAGTACATATCCACAATTTTATGAATTATCAGCCCGTCATTAGAGGCATATGGGGCAAAGCATGGAAGATAATTGACAAGCTGTATGGGGAGCCTGCATAAGTTGCACCCAGACTGTATCTATCTTAGATAACCAAGACAATGCAGTTTCTTTCTCAGGCTCCAGATGTTTTGTACTGAAACTCCCAGCTGCTTAGCCTACATGACTAGGTATAAGGGATTATGGGAGTAATAATCCAAATATCTGGAGAGCAAGAGGTTGGGAAAACCTAATAAAAAGGTTCATTTGGACTTTAGATGTTATTGGACCATTTTCGATCAGGTTGGATCATACTGACAGTTTGGAGCAGTCCTCTTTGACTGCCTAATGCTGAGTATCTTTCCTCATCAAGCATGTTCTTTTCCATGCACTCACAGCCAAAACAGAAGACACACTCATCATAATACAAATAACTGATACAAACAGTATAAGCCTCCAGGAAATCTGTTGCCATCTGTGTTGATAGTGTTTAGATTTGTCAGGCCATGTTGTGTCTTCATGTTAACCTTTCTTCTGTTGCAGAGAGAGGGAATTATAGATATAATGATATCTCTTCTAACTACATTTGGAAGGCTGGGAGCTGGTTATGAGGTCACATTTACCCCCACTGCAGCCCCTGCTGTTTCAGCTATAATTCCTGCTCTGAAATGCTAATGACTACATTCATATATATTACTCCAAAAGGTTGTGCCCCTAATAACTGGTGCGGATACTCTACATACACACTGTAATAACTAGGCTTGGGAAATTGAAATGTCTTTCCTAAGCTTTGAAAATGCCCAAGAATTCATTATTCCTAGTCCATTTAGTAGCTGTGCCCGACTAAGGTAAAGGTAAGGGTTCCCCTTGATGTATAGTCCAGTCGTGTCCAACTCTAGGGGTCGGGCTCATCCCTGTTTCCAAGCTGTAGAGCCGGCGTTTGTCCGAAGACAGCTTCCATGGTCACGTGGCCAGCGTGACTAGACACAGAACGCCGTTACCTTCCCATCGAGGTGGTCCCTATTTATCTACTCGCATTTGCATGCTTTCGAACTTCTAGGTTGGCAGGAGCTGGGACAAGCGACGGGAGCTCACTCCGTCGCGTGGATTTGATCTTACAAGTGCTGGTCTTCCGACCTTGCAGTACAGAGGCTTCTGCAGTTTAACCTGCAGCACCACCACGTCCCTTTCCAAATCCCAACTAAGTCATGCCTTATCAGAGTCAAAGTTGGATCCAGATTTTTGGTTCCCTGCTCTCCATGGCAGCCCCTCTAAGCTCCTGAAAAAAATACTCAGAAGGTGACAGGCCTGTACTCAGTGGAATTATCTATTTTGGAAATTTGCCCAGATGAGACAAGATGTCTCCCATGAGTGGAAGACAAATTCTGGATCCATCTCATCAAAATCATGATAGGGTTCAATGTCCATCATTCCTTCATATCCCACAAGTTTTATTCCTTCCATTCCTCCACCTATATGCCTTCAAATTCCCTCCCAGTAACATGACCACTGTCTCTAGAAGAGGTGGCAGCAATGAAATACCTGTTCTCAGTTGCCAAGCCCCTCCTGGTCAGTTATGTGACTGGTTGACCAATCAGTGGGGTCCAAGCAATTGTGGGCACGGTGGATTCTAAGAGTCTGTGCTCCTCTGCTGGTCTTTGGGTACCCACAGTTGCACTAACACACATATACAGTGGACTCTTGACTTATGAAGGTCCCTACTTACGGAAATTTTGAGGTATGAAAAGCTCTGGCTGCAAAATTTTAATTCGACTTGCGGCTGGAGCTTCGACCTATGAAAGGCAGGGGAAAGGGCGGGAAATGCAAAGCAGACAGGAGGCAGAGGGCACCGGGGACAGGAGACAAGAGGGCAGCAGGGGCTGCTCTGAATTTCCCCCCTTTCCCCCTTTCTGTGCCCGCTGCCAGCTTTGGAAGCCGAAAGCAGCTCCGCGCCCACTACCGGCTTTCAGGGCTTAGAAAGTTGCACCCACTGCCCTCTTGTCTCCTGTCCCCAGTGTCCTCTGCCTGAGGCATAGGGCACTGGGGCCAGGAGACAAGAGGGCAGTGGGTGCAGCTTTTTAAGCCCTGAAAGCGGGCATGGAGCGGCTTTGGGCTTCAGGGCTTAGAAAGCTGCACCCGCTGCCCTCTTGTCTCCTGTCCCTGGTGCCCTCTGCTTGGCAGCGGGTGCAGAGCGGCTTTCGGCTTCCCGGGTTTCCAAAGCTGCTCCCACTGCCCTCTGCCTTCCATCCCCGTGGGGACGGGAGGCAGAGGGCAGCAGGGGCAACGTTGGAAGCCTGGGATTTTTTTTCCTTTGGCTCAAACGGATTAAATGGTCTTCAATGCATTCCTATGGGAAATGGACCCTCGACCTACGGAATTTTCGACCTGCGGCCACCGTTCCAATACGGATTAATTCCGTAAGTCGAGGGTCCACTGTACCCAGTCCCCATGCCTGGAAGCCTGTGTCAGAGCTCTCCAAGACGTTCCTCCCAGGAACCCTTCTCCTCTACCTCCTCAACTAGCATGATAGGCAGAAGATCCCTTGTTGGCATTTCACCTTCTCCCTTGCTTCTCTGGTCAGGGTCTGCCTACAATGCCTTCATTATATTCCCCAGGGCCTCTGTTTGTGTTCCCTTCTCCTGTGTCCTGGGTTTCTCTTGTAAGGGTTTCTCTGGGGATCCTTCTGCCAGATTGGCCTCTACTGGGGAAATCACTATGTGGAATTCCATTTGTCCTGAGTGAAGGTAAAATGGTCTGCCAAGAGGTGTGTCTGTGTTGCTGTCTATCCTCACAGTGTCATTTTCTCGCTGCCTGTTAGGCTTCCTAGAGGGCACCTCCCGAAGAAGTGTGATTCCCAAGAAGCATCAAAACAGTTAAAAAAATGTTAACAGATATAGTAGCAGCCTTAGAAGTAAATAAACCAAAGCCCTTCTCCAGGGAGGCAAAATCTAGAGATCTGCAGATTTGTGTTTATGGGCTGCAACTCCCAGATTTCTTCCTGGGGAATTCTTGAGTAAATTCTGAGGCTTGAAGTGCAAAAACAAGAAATAGCACACCCATAGCTGGATGTGAGTACACAATCGAATAGCAGTTATCCATCGTATTCTGTAATCTTTAAATTTATTTTTCATGTTCTGGTATATGCATGCAAGTACAATGTGTACTTACAAGATGAAGACTGCCCTATAGTTACAGTGGACCCTCTACTTACGGAATTAATCCGTATTGGAATGGTGGCTGCAGGTTGAAAAGTCTGTAGGTCGAGTCTCCATTGACCTACAATGCATTGAAAACCGATTAATCCTGTAACTGGCCGTTTTTGTTCCATTTTGGTTTTTTTCTGGTCTGTAGGTCGATTCTCAGGCTGCAAGTAGAACCTAAATTTTGCAGCCAGAGAAGTCTATAACTCGATAAGTCTGTAAGTCAAGGGTCCACTGTATGCCTGAATAGTCTGGAGCATAAAGAAAAAATACAGACGCTATGCCCCCTGGCTTCTCCTTTCTTGATCTCTTGTCTCACTGCAAATCTACTTTTCCTCCACAGCAAGAAGAAAAGAGGATGTGAAAGACACTGGTGGACTGGCCAGTTGGTTACAGTCATTGTATTTAAATTTACATAGCTACAGCTTGAAAAAGTTAACTTTGTAGAGCCATAGCTCCCAAAATCCTGTAAACAAACGTTTTTTCTGCCCTTGTTAACAAAACTGCTGAAGGAGTACCACAGTGTCAAACTTTGACATTTATATCCTTCATTTGTGAAGTCACATGTAACTTCATGTATTTTTAAAACATTTGTCAATCATGTATTTTTAAAATATTTGTTACAGCGACACTGACAAGCTATTCTGAAAATATGGATCGTGCTAAGTATGGAGGGGAAGGCAGCAAAGAATTAGGATCTGGAGGAAACCTGAAGCCTTGGCAGTCACAAAAATCCAGTATAGATTCTTGTTTATATCGAGTGGATGAAAACATGACGGCCTCCACATACAGTTTAAACAAAATCCCTGAAAGGAACCTAGATGCAGTTTTATCCCAATCGGTACAATCCATTCCACTGTACCTTATGCCACGGCCAAACTCTGTAGCAGGTAAGAAATTCCTAAGTGTTGAACTGCATTTTTATTACTAATGATCTCACAATAGGATCTTATAATTTTACATCTATAATGTCCTTCTAAAACTTTTGTACAAATATTTAAAATGGTTTTTTTTAATATCTAGGATAGCAACTCATACATACTGCTAGATTATGAATTTCTAATCTCTGGTTTTATGGTCCATGGATTCCTTGTATGTGATTATGATGGTGGTGGTGGTGGTGGTTGTTATTTATTATTATCCCTTCTATCTGATTATTTGGATTTTTTTAGTTATTTGAAAATTAATGAACAGTTATGCATAACAGAACCATTTGCACAATGCCACTTGCGTTTTTCAGTTTCATTCTTACAACATTAACCAAATAACTTTCAAATTTGCTAAAGTTATGATATGTGAGCTGCATGAAATTGGGAACCAAGAAGCTAAAAAAATTTATTTGAAGTACTACAAACCCTGTTGTCACTGCGAACTAGAGAACAACTATCTGATCTGTGTAAACTTTACTCCTTATTAACACTTAATGAAGATTTATTTTGAATACTATGTTTCCCCCAAAATAAGACAGGATCTTATATTAATTTTTGCTCCAAAAAAACACATTAGGGCTTATTTTCAGGGGTTGACAGTCATGTCATCTTCTGGTTGCCGCACAATGCTGCACAAGGGTGGAGGGTGGGGTTTCACTGAACTAGGGCTTATTTTGGGGTAGGTCTTATATTACAAGCATCCCGAAAAATCCTACTAGGGCTTATTTCCAGGTTAGAATTTTTTTTTTTTTTTTGAAAACAGGGTATTTACCAGTCTTAAACTGAGGAGACACTCTGTAGAAGGATCTCTTAGAGTAAGAGACCTCAGACAGCTCTTGTGCTTACATTTAGTAATACTAGAGAACTTGTAGGTACGTAGTTTGCAATACTAATTTCCAAGTATATGAAACAATAGAAACTACATATTTCCTTCATTGTTTTTCTAGAGCAAAAGAAACAAGAATGATTTCTTCTCAGATGCCTTTTGTCATCCACTCCTAAATTCAGGAGCATCATTTTTGCTAGCTCACTTTGTCCATAAAACTTTCACATTCTTATGTGGAGTTGGGTCTGTAGTTCTCTTTAACATACAAAACTCGGGGAGAAAGCAGATTAATTTTAAAAATAACTTAATATATTGTATAATATATAGAGAGTATGGTGTACTGGATAAAATAATAGACTTAAGACTCATATGACCTGGGTTCAAATCCCAGCTTGGACATAGAAACTCAATGGGGGAGTGATACTGTAAAATGACTTCTAGAATATCTCAAATACCCAATTCAATCTGAATAGATTTGACAGCATCTAATAACAATTAAATGTTAATCTAAAATACTCAGTAAAATAATAAAAGTAATCAAAGTGTTATTAAAAGTTTTGATATTTAAAAAACTGATTAAGTGTGACCTTGAATCTTGAAGCACATGATAAGAAACCTTGGTGAATGTGAGCACATATGGCTATGGTCTATCTCTGAAAAAAAAGCAGTCTAAAACCCTGTGTACATTGATGGAGTTAAGTCATTGAACAGTGAAGTTAGAGATTTATTCCAGCAGAACTCCACCTCAGTGGAAGCTTAAAGTCAGTCTGGACAGTACCTTTTTTTGGGCTGTAATTTGATTTCTTTTCTGATGTTCTTCGTACTTATTTTTAGTAATCCTTCTGGGAGTTTCCTTGCTGAAGAATCTTCAGTGCTTAGTGCCTTTGTGACTGCTGTGCATGAAAAGGCATTAATTTGTTTTGATTGCCTGCATAATTTTTTTTATTTAACAAAACGAAAAGAGTTTGATTGTCACATAGATCCTGTTTGGCAACACAAAGAAAGAAAGAAAAGGAAGCTAGATACTTTTTGGGACCACACTGTCTGAATGATTAGTGCAGGCATGTCCAACCCACGGCCCGCAGGCCGCATGCGGCCCAGGTCAGCTTGTAATGCAGCCCAGCTCTGAGCTCATCCAGGGCAGGCGCATCACCGCCGCGCCGCTGCGACCCAACCCTTCTCCCCCGCAGTCCACTGCTTCTTCCTGCCCAGGCTCCTGGGGCTGTTTGGGAGCCGGAACGCGGTGGCGCCGCTGCCTCCCGTCCCCTCCTCTTCCCTCCTTGCTTCTTCCTGCTCGGGCTCCCGAGGCTGTTTGGGAGCTGGAATGCGGTGGCGCCGCTGCCTCCCGTCCACTCCTCTCCCCTCCCCGCTGGGAGAAAACAAAAGGCCCGGCCGGGCCTTGCCTCCACCCTGTTGGAGTGCAGGAGGTGTCGCCTTGGCTCTCCAGAGAAGCGCCCCCCGAACGGGATTGAGGCAATATGTTTGGAACAGGGAGGACCCGGGGGTTGCCCTTTCCGTGATCAGTCCGCATGGGTGGAGAGGGGCTGCCTCGCTGCTTCTGCTTTTCTCTTGGGGAAAAATTGAGAAAGGCGCCCTTTAAGCATGGCTCGCCTGTTCAGAAAAGGATGGGAAGTGTTATGGGGTTCTTTGTGGCTTGTCAGGGAAAAGGGAAGTGGGGGGGAAGCCTTGTTATGGGGACATGCTTGAAAAGTGTTCCCCTGGGCACGGACGTAATGCTTGAGACTCTGTATTACAGGACCCAGCAGCCCCCTCCCCCCTTTATCGTGCTGGAGAGGTGTGTACCTACTGCAAAACTCACACTTTTGCAACTGGGTCCCTGCAGACGAGCGGAATTACAACAACTACCATCCACAGCCAGTCTGCAGGGTGCCAGATTGGGAAAGGTTGCAGTGGTGAAAACAAGGGGGCCTTCTTTGGCTTCACGGAAGCGCGCGCGCGCTGCTTTTTGCTCTTTTTCCCGCCGGAGGATCTGGAAGGAGGTGGGTGAGGTCATTTTGAGTGTGTGTGTGTGTTTGTGTCGGTTGGAGGGGATTTCCAAAAATGAACATTAGCCCCCCCCAACTTCCTAGGGACCCCGCATTGCTCCGTGTGGAAGGAAAGAAGGACTCCCCTTTTTCCTCCCCCTCCCCCTCTTTCTTCCGTGAGGGGTCATGATCTCACCGGAGGTGGGGGTGGAACAAGGAAGTTCGCCGGGATCCCCTTCATGCCACATGCAGGGAATCATCCTGGGGATGGTGATTTCCCCCCCTCCTGCATAGAGACCCCCCTTTTCTTTTTTTGGCTTCCTTTCCTTCAGGGGGGTTTCCAAAGGGAAGGAGAGGCGGTGACTGGGTCTCTTCCCCCACTTTTCCCCCCACTTTATTCTCTCCCTCCTTCCGTCTTCCCTGCCCCCTCCCTCCTTTTTCCACCTCTAGACAAACTCTCCAGGTGACACCCCCACACCAAAAGATTTCTCCCACACGCATGGCCATGGGGCCTTTTGGATACTTTTTTTGGGGGGGAGAAGAGAGCCATCCTTTTTTAAACTGAGGTTTTGTTAACTTTTTTTCACCATTCGTTTTGCTTCCAGTGCCCTGTTTGCCCCCCTCTCCCCCCCCTCTCTCTCTCTCTCACACACACACACACACACACACACACACACACTCCTTTTTCCACCTCTAGACCGACTCTCCAGGTGAAACCCCCACAGCAAGAGATTTCTCCCCCACGCATGGCCATGGGGCCTTTTGGATTCTTTTTTGGGGGGGAGAAGAGGGCCATCCTTTTTTAAACTGAGATTTTGTTAACTTTTTTTCACCATTCGTTTTGCTTCCAATGCCCTGTTCACACACACACAGAGACACACACACACACTGCACAAAACTACATGTCTTCCTTATTCTTTAGTTAACTCATGAAAAGAACACATTCCTGCTTCTGTGTCACTAGTGGAAATTCTTGTTTGTGCTGACCAATTGGATGAGCAGGTATCGTTACTGTTCTTTTATTTTATGTGCGGCCCAAACCAAATTTTCATCTTCTAATGTGGCCCAGGGAAGGTGAAAGGTTGGGCACCCCTGGATTAGTGGGACACAGGGAATTTGTCAGGATTTGCACAGCTGGAGAGAAAGCCTGGATCAGCCAGAGTGGTAACAAGCAGGCCTGAAATTGCATAAGTAAGGAATTGGTGAAGAGACCCTGGATCAACTGGAAGTAGGCAACCAGGGCTATCCATAGAGAGTTTTTGCACCAGCAACTGTCAAGATAGTGACTAGAATGCATTTTTGTTTTAGACTACTGTAAAATTTTATTCTTATCACTGGAACCTAAATCATACTAATCCAGCCATCTCAAGATCTCCTGCTCCCTCAAATGATTACAGTATGTTCCTCCTTCTCTTATGCTTTGATCTACCCTCCACAGCATTTTAAACTTTCTTCAGATAGCTCAGTATCATGTGCAGCTTATGATTAGAGTAGGGAATGGGTACACCATTTCTATTCAGTTCTTCTGCCATAGATAACTAAGCTTCAGTACATGTAGTTGAAATAGCATGTATTGTTTACCTCTGCCTCCACTTCCTTTTCTTTCCTCATTTACCTCCCCTGTGTCTGGTTATAGATTATAATCCCTTTGGAGCAATGATTTTTGTTCTTGTACTTAGTATAGCACTATGCATATTGATGGTAATGTATAAATAAATAATCAACATCATTGCCCTGAATAATACGATCTAATGCAAAAGCAAAAACCCTTAGGACAGAAAAAATATATTTTTTTTTCTTCTGCTTTATTCTCTAGATGTTTTCTCCACTACTCTTAAGCAACTTAGCCACATTTATGTAATTTTGACCTATTTGCATATCTTTTGCATCAATAAGGCAACACAAATGACGTATTTTCTTTTAATTTCAATATGTTGTAGTTGAGTGCTATACTGAAATTTATATTTTAATTCCATTCAAATCTGGATTTACTTTAGAATTAAAATATGCAGACAAAAATTCAGTATAAATGTAAATAAGTTATGTATCTGTTTGGAGGACTTCACAGATATATCTGGTTGATAACTTAGAGCAAAAGTGTTTTTATATGTTGCGTGTTCTGTGCAATGTTAACATTTCTCTTGCAGTTG